GATTTTATTAAATCATATAAAAATTAAATAATTAAAATTTAGAGTTACTTCTAGAATTGATTTCAAAATAAAATCTTCAATATGATGAATTATTGATGAATATTGTTTTTTTAAAGCATATAAAAATTAAAATATAACTAGAGATTCATTTTAAAATAATTTAAAAAAATAAAGAATCTCCGAAGATCCGAACCAAACCATACCGAACCGATTCGTCCCAATAGTCTCGAATACAGAACCGAACCGAAAAATAAAAATCTCCGAACCGAACCAAACCGACTTTTGGTACGGTTCTGGAGATCGAATTTTGGGATCTCCGAAGTTTGGTACGATTCTGGAGATTTATCAATCTCCGAACCGTACCGACACACACTCACCCCTAGCTACTAGGTGATTGTACCACACACACACAAAAATACATTATGATTAATAACAGCATTAAAACACAACCAATCATAACACTACGTAGGACTTGGTTCTCATTGAATCACATCCTATATATAAACATTTTTATTTTTTTAATATAATATTCAATACTTTAATTCAATTTACATACACATCCACTGCTTAAATTTGACTTGCCTTAAACAATATACTAGCAAGCTCCGGCTGTGCGATGCACAACCGGCCCAGTGATTTTCTTAATATTTGTTATATACAGGTTAGTTCTTTGATATAGAATTAACGGTCAACTCATTCGCTTTACTTTGAAATATATACATTTGCTAGCTCAATAATCTATTCCTCCACAAAGTAGCATAAAACAATGAGCATTTGCTCCTCTTGATAAATTGGCAATGAGTGTCTGATTCTGAGTCCTCCATCTAGTTACACAAATCAAATGAATTTTGCTACTCTGAAAGAATGAATAGACTAAAAGAATAAGGCAAAATTTCAAAATTGGTCCTATAACTTGACCACTGTTCAAAAAACCACCCGTATATTGACCACTTTCAATTTAGGTCCTATAATTTGTCAATTTCATCAATTTTGGTCCTTTTTATCCGAACCCTGGATTAAAAAGTGACGTGGCATGACGTGTCATTTTTTTAAGGTTACATGGCGTGATTATGATCTACGTGGCACGTCAATTTTGGTCCTATAATTTGTCGATTTCATCAATTTTGGTCCTTTTTTATCCGTACCCTGAATTAAAAAAAAGGACCAAAATTGATGAAATCGACAAATTATAGGATCTAAATTGAAAGTGGTCAATATAGTGGTGGTTTTTTGGACAATGGCCAAATTATAGGACCAATTTTGAATTTTTGCCAAAAAAATAATATAGTACATTATTTTTCAACTACACTAAAATAGAGAGAATGAATAGACTAAAAGAATATCACGTAAACAACTAAGGTAAAGCACCATGTTAAAATTAACAAATAGCAATCAAAACCCAAGAAAAAAAAAAGCAAAGATAAAATATTTAGTAAACA